CCGTCACTAAGGGAAGTGCAACCGGAGAGTCCGGTGGAACCTCAACCAAGTCCCAAAGCTACTACTACTCCCCTGACTGCCTGTGGTGATGAATGATGGTCAAACCGAAGTCAATACCTAATGGGAGGACAAACCCCCAGTTGCATGGGAGTGGAGCTACACCGACGCCACAGGTCACGTCTATACCTGGTGGATACGCTTCTCGGCACTAGTTGAGGAGGAATCATCACAAATGGATATGGATAATAGTGGTAATGGTGGAACTTCCTCAGCCATGCTCGAAGGTATGCAGGTACAGGGAGAAGGTGCGGGGGTAGAGTCTAACCTCTCCAAGTGTACTTTTTCTTCTCATGTGGCGTCTTAGGCCGCGATGTCGCTGAGCACAACACCTTTGCCTGAACAAGTTGCATTGGGACTGGCTATAAAGGATGCGAGTGGAAATAGCAAAGGTTGGTGAGTGTCCCTATCCATCATGTGCCTCTTGTGATTGGTAGGAAGGCGGAGGCTAGCCTGAAAGTTTTCAAATCGGGGGGCAAGGAATTACCTGCATCAGCGAGTGCTCAGAAGAGCCAGAATCATACCAAGGGTCAGAAGGCCACCAAGCGTGGGGCGAGTAATACAACCGAGAAAGGTTCGACCCCATCCCAGGGTCAAACTGGGGTGTCGGGTACCCGGAGCACATCCTTGAAGACTCCTGAGCAACAAGTGTTTGGAGGGCAGCTCCCTCTAATCAAAGGAGAAGGGAAATTATTTCACACTTCATCATTTCCCCCCTCTTTTACATGTGTCCTCTCACTCTCTCTTTGTCTTCCTCATTCTCTTTCCGTTTGTTTTTCGATCTCTCTCTGAGCTTTGTATCTCACCACTCTCACCATTCCCTTCCTCTTTCTTCCCACTGCCTGAAATCAAGAGAAATCGAGTAACATCCCAATTACTTCTCCAACTTTGCGTTCGAAAATGCTTCTTCTCCATTCACGGTCGATAATGTGAATCAGAGCACCTGAAACTTGGCGAACAGATGACCGCTTATTCCTCGATGGAGCAAAGTAGTTTCATAGCTTGTGAATAAACTAATTACTAAAAGTGATAAAAACAACTCTCGATAAACCAATTGAGTGAGTGCATAGTAGCTCACCGCTTAAACCATTTTATTTATCTAAAGAATCAAAATGCATAATCAGGTTCATCTTCACTTATTTACATGTATTTGTCGTACAAATTCATTAGACAAAAAAAATGGTTTTGAACCAGCATATCAAACTAAATCTCATCTTATGATTATTGGATCCAATCATGTCATATTAGCAAGAGGTCTAAGGCTATTGGTCAACCAGGTTGAAAGTTAATACTAATTTAAGATTTATATATCGCTTCCAAATGTTCAATACTCCAACTTTATATGCAATATTCGAACAGATATATGAGTTTCAACCCCTTCCTCAAATTTTTTGGACTAGGAAAAGCTCAAAACACACACACACATTTCCAAAGAGATATTAAATCCCAATTTCTTTTTCACTTTACTTGCTTCTAAAATTATTGTTGACATTGTTTGTTATTACTGCAAACCATATAAAAGAGCTTTTAGAAATGAAGTTAATCAAGAAAGATTTTATAAATGAGTGTTTAGTTGTATACATTGAAAAAGGTTTGAGTATCAAAATAAACAATGAATGCATTTTATAAACCTTTTTAGAATATGAGTCGTCACACGTTGATGTAAAAAACTACTCATTAATTCAAATATATATTATTTTTAGAATATTTTATTTTTATCAAATGGCGCATTTCTCTATAAATATGAGTTCACAAATATAGATTGTGTGGTGCTCGCACTTGTGCGCGAGCCCATGAAGCATTCATGTTTATACGGGGTCGATCCACATATATTATCTTCATGGTATGCACTAACAGTGTCGTGCTAGCTCGACCATGTGCCTAGGTATAGTTATATGCATTCTAATAATTAAGTTTCTACTTATTCAAAACACCAAGATAAAAAACAGTCATAAATGTACACATTATCCGGTTTTGACTACCAGATGAAATATTACATTTGAACCAACTACCACTGATGTCACAAATAATAAGTATACCTCTAATTCATACATAAAATACTTTAAGCATAAAAAATATTAAGATTAAATTAATTATTATGAAGAGTAAAAATTGTATAGTGAGGTTAATTATAACTCATTCATATGTTAATGCCCTATAAGTTGATCAGCACATCCAAAACTGGTGAAATGAACATCACATTAAACCACAAAATTACTTGAACTTCTTCGTTGGGAGAGTGCGAGAAGATTGTAAATCTATTGATGTTTTTCTACTTCTGTTCTGGGGCCAATATTGTCTCATTATTGTTGGGTCCATTCATGTAAGATTAGAAAGAGGTTTAAAGTTTAACAGTTAACCATGCTAAAATTTTAGAGAATCATTCACCTAGAGTTTGTACAAAATATTATTGTTTCGTAGTAGTCCTGAAAATTTATATTAATTTAAAGAATTGTACATTTCTTTTTCATATTCAATACTGCATTCAATATGCAATATTTCAAGCAATGAAATATGGGGTGCAATTTTAAAATTATCCGAAATTGTATAGGTTATAAAAAATTATAAATCACGTATTAAAATTTGTTTTTCATAAAATTTAATAGGCTATCTAACCGTGATGAAAAGTCCTTTGCTTTTCAAATCTTCGCTTAGTGTATGTTTAAAATTTAAGAAGATAACAGAAATTTGTTTAGTTTAATTGGTTGTGATTATTGTTTTTATTTGAAAAGACCATAGTTCAAAACGTGATATTGATACTTTTTTATATAAAGTAGATAAATAATTGTGATGACAAACTTACTCTTCATACTTTCACTCTCGATTCATGAAATATGAAATGGAAAATGTTAAATGAGCTTCTTCAACCAAGTAGGAATGATATATTACATGAAATTATTATATCTTATAGAAAGTGATTAATTATGAAATCAAACCTCAAGTAATATTGATTCAAACATATATAAAATTATATGTCGTGGTTCAGTTTAGACAAAATACATATATGTAACCAAAATATGGACCTTTGTGACAAATATAGTAATTTTTTGTGACAATCAACTCATAATATAAGATAAATTGGGCGCAATGACGAAAAGAGTTTTCTAGAATCACTCTCAGACCACGAAATTTGAAATGAGACTCTCATTTTCCAATTTTATCATTATATTATGTGTATATTTGTCACAAAAAATGAATATACTCGTCGCAGAGGTCAATGTTTCGGTTACACTTTTGTATTTTGTCTAAACTAAAGTACACATACAATTTAATATTAATGTTTGAATCAATGTTACTTGAGTTCCGATTTCAAAACTAATCTCTTTGTATAAAATATAAATAACTTAAGATAAAATATAAATATAGAAGCATCATCACCAAACATATTTCTAGAGTTTAATTAAAGAATAACAATAAATAAAATGTAGCCTAGTTGGTTATAAATTATAATGCTCTTTCTTCATTTGAGTGACCTAGGTTTGAACCTTGATGATAACATTTTTAATTAGGGCTGGGAAACGGTGCGATCTGGTACAAACATGACCATATATACGGTCTACGGCCTAGAATGAGAGGTTGGAGTATAGGCCACAGACTATACGGTCCAGACCAGACCACGCCTATGTGGTCTGGTCCAGATAGACCATACTTAACCAAAAATTAATAATTTGATTAGTCAACCACACAAAATAAATTGAACCAATAGCCAAAATTTTTTTATTTTTTTCCTTCAAACATATATTCCAATATGCATGAATAATTTTGACACCATAAATCAAAGTAAATAATAAAGATACAAAGTCAAAGCATCCCAACTTGTAACATAACGTCATAAACATTTACATAATGTCATATAAAGACACGATCGTCTCTACTCTCTGTGAAATGTGGTTGTGAATGAAGGAGGGGGACGAGATTCTCAAAATTAAGATTGAGAATTGGGTATCCTTGTGGGAGTTGGGAGAGTGATTGAGTGAACTGCTAACATGTATTGAGAAGTTGGCAGGGTCCACGGTTTGGTCCAGTGAACCGCGGTCTAGACCAGCCCAGATCAAACCAAAAAATCAAAACATCATATAATTCAGACCATGAACCAGACCAAACCAAAAAATCAAAACATCATATAATTCAGACCATGGACCAGGCCATACCATACTTAACGGTCTACGGTCCGGATAAAACTGTGTGGTCTGGTCTGGACCATAGTTTTTCAAACAGTCTGATCTATTTTCCCAGCCCTATTTTTAATATGTAAAGATGAATTGGGTGCAATAACAAAAATGAACTTCTAGAATCAAATTTGAAACGGGACAATTCCAATTCATCTTTTACCATTATATATTTTGTAGATAAGCGATGTAAATCCTTTAATGATATGCAGTAAGAGCATCTCCATCAATGCAATTGCAAAAGAAATTGCATTTGTGTTTTTTACTGTCAACTCAAATTTTTTGCAATCCACATCAAATTCATTTCACTCACCTACATCAATTCAATTAACTTGCAATTGAAAATGTAATTAAATATTGTGTTTAAATTATAGAAAATTAAGTAAAAGAGAAAATAAAATAATTTAAAATAAAAAATCCCCATTTTTTTAGGCTTTTTTTATTTGTATATGGAATTGTATTTATTGCAAGCTTTCAAATATGCAATTGGTAGTCAAATTAATGCAATTTATTTTGTAATAGCAAACACCTATTTCATATTTATTTTGCAAGATTGCAATGTTGATACTCTAACGTATATACTTTTCCTTTTTATGCTCGTTCCGTATTTTTACCAAGGTTGTCAAACCGGTTTAAGTCATTGAGCCGGTCAAGTAAGGGGTTTGAGGTTTAATGGTCTGATCGGGGTCCGGCCGGTTTGAGCCGTTTTAGACGTTTTCTAAATATATATACAAATAAAGTAATAATTAAAAATTTAATGAGTGAAATAAAATTTATCTTACATATATCTATTAAAAACTTATTTTCAACAAAATAAATCTACCTAACCTCCATGATCCACCTACCATTTCCCTTCCTTCGTTCATTTTCCTCTCTTCCGCCTCTCTTCTTCTCCCTGTTTAGGGGTCAGACCGGGGGGTTTTCTGGAGGCCGTTTTGAAGCCCGACTCGGGTTGAACCGGGTCCAACCGGGGGGTTCAATAGGGGTTTAACAACCTTGATTTTTACTATTAACTGGACTGGCTTTTCTCACTCTCGAGTCTCTGTTTGGTCTCTCCCTGTCTTGGCTCCCCCTTTTTCTTCTCCATCGTCGTCTCTCTCTCGCTGTCCCCCGGGAGACGCACTCCACAATTACATCGCCGGCCGGCGAATTAGAATTGGAGAAACCGAATAACTCGGAAGGAGATTCCGGGACGTACGAAACTCTCTGCCGCAAATATCCTCCCTTCGTCGGATTCTTCCACTTTTTGTGCAAACCCTAATCTCCCAGCGGACATCTCTCCAGGGGGGTTAGGATTTTCGGGGGTTTCTTCCGATTCCCTCCTGCTTGCCCTCCCTCTCTGATGCTTCAGGGCCACAAAGATTCTCGCCAATGTACGCCCACCCTCAATCCATGAACATTCCCCACCAGATCGACGACTTGCCCGGCGGCGGCGGCGGCGACGAAGAAGATGCTTCCGGAGCCCCCGATTCGATGGACCAGCACCAGCTTGAAAACATTGGATATGACGACGCTGCCGCAGCCGCAGGAGTCGTCGTCGACGACATGTCTGCTGACTCTGTCTATATTTCCTCCAGTGGCGGCCCTGGGTCGGAGCTTCTTATTCATGGGGGTGATATCACCAACCAGCTTACTTTGACGTTTCGTGGCCAGGTGTATGTGTTTGACGACGTCACGCCTGATAAGGTAGGTGATTCTGCCGAGGGTTTTAGCGGCGTAGGGAGACAAAAGTCTGCAACTTTGGCCATCTTTCTTCTTTTTTTGTGGGAGGTTCTGGGAAGAGATAACGAATGTAGCTTCAATGTTGAGTTCTAGGCTGTGAAAGTAGCGCAAGGAACTACATTCTTTAGGTTTTTCTTCTTGGCTGCTTCTGTTTCCATGAATTGCTTCTTTGCGACGGTGGTTACAAATGTTTGAGATCATTGTTTCGCATATGTCCAGTTTGGAGCTTTAGCTTAATGTGCTTACTTTCTGGGTGTCACAGGTTCAGGCAGTTCTGTTACTACTAGGAGGTTGTGAAATAAATTCTGGTCTGAATGGTCTGGAACTGCCGCCTCAAGGCCAAAGGGTATTTGTCCTCTCTTATTATTTATGAGATTTTAGTATATATGTGAATTTATGGATATGCTCAGACTTTCTGATATGACTCCTTGCTATCTAGGGCGCATCTATGGACTATCCAGGCCGCTCGACACAACCTCATAGAGCAGCTTCTTTGAATAGATTTAGGCAAAAGAGGAAAGAGCGATGTTTTGACAAGAAGGTTCGATATAGTGTTCGCCAAGAGGTTGCCCAAAGGTGTGTTGATGATACCTCCTGATATATGATATTGTGATGTTTGCGTAAGATTTTATCATGGTGGTTTTTGGCACATATCTTATATTATTAAACTGTTTTTGACTTGTCAGAACGGGTAGATTAGGTTGCCAACACCTGGATGGCTAGAAAAATTAGAGAGTATCAATATGATGAGTTGCCTGTTAAACGCCAATTCTGTTGTTTGTATTACAACTACGTACAAGCACCAAGTCGAGTTGAAATTCATGTGTTGTTTCGCTGTGTCCCTAAACGTCATAAGTCACATTTTAGAATGATTTGTTAGAGTGCTTAACAGATTTAAACGGCAAATGGGTATTTACAACCTTATGAAGTGATTACCCTAAGGGCAGTAGAACAAGTATGATGTAACCTTCTCCTGGATTCATGATTTGAGCTGCTTATTAAGTATCCATCTGATGTTTACTTTAAGGAAATATTAAGCCATCTATAGTTAGACCGAAGTGGTAGCCTTGATATACTATTTGCTGGCATGCTGTTGGCTCTTTGTCCAAGTACCAACAACCGGAGTTCTTGACCACTGTAATTAGTGTTGCTGTATGCCTAGTGATTGTTAGTTTACAATTTGGTTATCGAAAGAAACAAATTTGACTATGTTGTGCAGGGTGCAAGGTGTTCGTAAGAAATACGCTTCTTTGGCACATGAGATTATTGGTAACCTGGATTGACTAGAAGAGAATTGAGAGAGATTTAGGGATTTGAATCATAATTGGGAAGAATAGAATTGGGGTTAGGGATTGAACACGAATTTGGGGAACAATGGCCGGGCCTTTAGGGAGAGACGGGATTTCAGAGAATTGAGAGAGATTAGTGTTTGGGGATAATTTCTGTAATATTCTTCTTTGATTATCTTAAATGAATTCCCACGTACATGTTTATAGGAAAAGACTCCAAGACCTAATAATAAACCTAAAACTAACTAATGACTTAACAACCAAGTAATTAAAGACTCCTAATACGAAATCCTGACCCTCATTCATAAACGGCTATTTTGCTCCCTTATTCCATAATAATAATAATAGTATTGACAGAAACGTGTTTCTAACAGTGTTTATGAGTATTCTGCTCATATGTAAGATATTTACCCTGTTTGACTTCTATGAGAGCTGTTGATATATATGGAAATGAAAAGTTATACTTATATGCATCTGGCTTCTATGCTGTGAATTGTTTCCCCTTTGCTTTGCTGGTTATTTTCAGACATCGCTTGTCCCCACCCCCAAAATTTTGTTGGTGGTTCTGTTTCCCTTCTGATGATGATTTTCTGTGTAAATCAGGATGCAGCGCAACAAAGGTCAGTTCACCTCATCGAAGAAAGATGGTACATATGGCTGGGACGGCAGTCAGGACTCAGGGCATGATGACAGCCAGCAAGAAACCTCGTAAGGATAACATTGTGTTTTCTAGTCTTGATCTTTTCTATTATCTGATCTGTTGTGGAAAAATCATTGATTATAAAAGCTGACTTTAAAGCTGGAGAGCTAAGCATTGGGAAACCATGTTGTATAGCTATGAGTTTAATGTTCCTTGCTTTATTGGGCTATCTTTGGCCTTTAAACATTTATATTACTATCAGACTAGTTTTTTTTTTTGGGGAACTTCTGTATTCTTCTGTAGGTGTACCCATTGTGGCATCAGTTCCAAATCAACTCCAATGATGCGACGTGGTCCATCTGGTCCTAGGTCTCTTTGCAATGCATGTGGGCTTTTCTGGGCAAACAGGGTTAGTTTCTTCATTCCTCTCACCACCATCACGAGGATATGGAGTATTTATATCTGTGTTTTGGTGATTCTGAAGTGCTACCTTTTTCAAATCCCAGCTTATGTATACATACATGGGTTCAAATCGTATTTCATTCTATTTTTCTACTATGCATGTGCAGATAGTTGTTAGTAGCCCTATCCCTGTATGTGTTGAGTGGTATCCTGGCTTTATTAGCTTGGAAATTGTTTATTGCTTTGCGCCATGCTGAACTTAACTTGTGCAAGTATTGCAGATTTACATTTTATTATTTAATCAGACGGATTGCTTTAAGGTGTTAAATAGGTCTCTTAATTCTTGCAGAATTTGTGCTTTTGAATTTTTATAGTGAACTTAAATCCTAGTTTTTTGTTATTCAAGGTCATGATGTACTATAGAGTAGAACCCTTGCTTGCTTCTGAGAAATATTTGTTGAAGATAACAGGGGATTGCGGAAGCTTTTTGGTCATCATAGTATATTAAAAATCCTAGAGATTCCCACATATCTCAGTTTTTGTTACTTGAGGGAGGAAGAATGTGGTATGTCAAGGAAGAGTCAGTTCATCAATTTTAGCATGCTTATAGATACTATCAGCTCCTATTTGTTAGTCCTTGACTGGAGAATTCAGAATAGTAGGATTATATTTCACATTTTTTATTTCCCCCGTCATTCCTTGAACTGGATCTATTCAATTTGCATGGAACAGGGTTATTATTCTATTTACGTGAATGAAATTTACTCTCGAGACTGGCATACATTTGTTACATGTTTTTTTCCAATAATGAATGAAATATTGGCAATGTAGTCAAAAACGCGTTTCTAAGTAGAAGCGTTTTAGTGATCTAGAAACGTAAAACCTTAAGCTTTTAAGGTTTAAAGCGCATTTTTTAACTACATTAGTTATAAAAATTGTGATTATGCGTAGAAGCGTTTTTGGTGATCTAGAAGCTTAAAACCGTAAGTTTTTAAGTTTTAAAGCGTGATTTTAAAGTACATTGATTGCAGGGAACACTGAGAGATCTGTCCAAGAGAAACCAGGATCATGCTTCTTCCGCTCCAGTAGAGCAGGTACTGTCTGTTGTCTGGAATTCGAGTTCTCGACTCTAAATCTATGCGTTAGTTTCACCAGCTCACTGATACTTGGATATATAGAACCAGGCGGAAGCTGAAGCAAACATGTTGGAGTCAGGAGGAGATGGGACCCATACCAACACTGAACAACTAGTTGTTTACTCAAATGAGTCTGGTCTAATTTCAGGAGAGCCCTGAGAGATAGGGAAAGAAGGCAAAGGCTGAGTTATTATTAGACAGTCGAGAAAGAACTTCTAGTTGAGGGGAAAAAAAAGTTTCTCTGGGAATGTACAGCTAATGAATGAATATAAGCCTGCCATAATCTTTATTGATCAGATATTGGCCCTCTCTGTACATGAAGATGGAGAGTCAGAGACTACATATCTCATCTTCTTTTCCAATGGTGACTAGGGTCTCGGCGGCCAATGAGATTTTCTTTCTGATCTTACTTTATCACAATGTACCATGTGTGACATTATGTAAAACAGGAAATAGGGTAGCTTGTTGATGAAGTGATTTGGTCCTTTTTTTCTTTCCTCCTATGAATTTGAATTGCCGGAAACTACCCCATCTGGCTTTTCTGGCGGTTTTGGTTAACTAACGCCATATGCATACGGATAGGGCTGCAAGTGAGCCGAGCGGGAAAAACTCATTCGGAACTCGACTCGTTTATTAAAGAGTCGAGTTTGAGTTAAGCTTTCTGCAGCTTGATGAGCTCCCGAACTAGTTCGACTCGGTGGCTTGTTGAGCTCAACTCGTGAGTTGGCTTGTTTAGAGCTTATGAGATGTATCAACTCTCAACATTGTGGCTAGTGAGCAAGCTCGAATACCAATTTTATGAGCGAATCGATCAATATGAGTTTGATTTTGATAATTCATAGGATTGTTAAATTATATATTTCACTCTATATGAAGTTTAACATGTAGATTATGTGAACAAATATGTCATGTTTAATTTAAAAATGAAATTATGTATCATAGATTGCTTCGAAACAATGAACAAATATAATTTTGAATGGGTTAATGCCACATTTGGTCACTGTGATTACTAAATTGTGTCAAGTTTAGTCACTAGAAAAAATTAATATCAAATTTGGTCACTCTAATTACTGAAACAGGTCACGTTTAGTCACTCTCCGTTAGTCTCCGTTCAACTCCGTTAAGGGAGTCCGTTATGTGCTGACGTGGCTAACGAGAGCGCCTAGTCAGCACCAATTTGGGCCAGAAATGGTCAAACCCGACCCGCCACGTCACTAAACCCACCATGTCATACACCCAACCCACTAACTCAACCCGACCCAAAACCAAACCCTCGCCCACTTAACAAAACAAGAATGGAAAATCGATCGGTTTAGTGGCCATTTCAGACCAAAACCATTTCTCCTTCCTTGCTTTGCTCCTTTCTTGAATCAATCCCCCACAAATAAATCCCCAAATTCGTCAAAAACCGGAATCCCTAGAAGCACGTACGTTCGATTGAAACAAGCTGGCGATAACTCGATGGAAGATCCAGATTAAGAGTATCCAAAACTCGACGAACTGGCAGGTGACTTACTCTAAGCGTCGCAAAGGGCTCTTCAAGAAGGCCAACGAGCTCACCGTCCTCTGCGACGCCAAAGTCTCCAGCACCGGCAAGCTCCACGAGTTCATCAACCCCGACGCCTCTTCAGTCTACATCACCTCTACTTTCATTCAATCTCTCCCTTCCTCTCTCCGAAACCCTAGATTCCCAATTCCATATGAGAGCGAGCTGAATCCGAGTTGATCAATCTTCGTCTTCGTCTCGGAAGTTTCAATCCAAGCTTGGATAGCACAATTTTTCAATCTCGTTGAGTTGAGCGTCGGATTTTTGCTTTTGTTTTTTGTTTGTGTGGTTTGGTTGGGAGCGGAGAAGTAAGGGGATGTTGGATCACTACTAGTGAGCTCTCGACGTAGACATCTGGATTACTCACTATGAGGTCTGGTCTCTCTTCATCTACTTCTTCCCTCCTGTCATCTTCCATGTTTGTTAAACGAGAGGACGGACCTCACTCTCCCTCTCCCTTAAACAATCTCTTTGTATGAGTGCAGAAGATGCAAGGTCAATTAAAGGAGATTTTTTATGATGAATTTGGGGATTTTTTGGTGGGGGAATTGATTCGAGGAAGGAGAAAGGGTTTTGGTCTGAAATGGCCAATAACCCGATCGATTTTCCAATCTTGTTTGTTCAGTGGGTGAGGGTTTGGTTTTGGTTCGGGTTGGGTTGGGTGTATGACATGGCAGGTTTAGTGGCGGGTCGGGTTTGACCATTTCTGACCCAAAATGGTGCTGACTAGGCGCTCCCGTTAGCCACGTCAGCACATAACGGACTCCCTTAATGGAGTTGGACGGAGACTAACGGAGAGTGACTAAACGTGACCTGTTTCAGTAATTAGAGTGACCAAATTTGATATTAATTTTTTCTAGTGACTAAACATGACACAATTTAGTAATCACGGTGACCAAATGTGGCATTAACCCAATTTTGGATAGTTAAAATTTATTAACTAAATAATATGATATCACAAAGTCTAACATGAGATTAGTTAATATGGAACAATTACGTGTTGTTATTATTATTTTCATCTTGACATTAATCACGTGTATCATACATGACATACAAAATGAATATATCAAATACGAGTTAAGATTTTAGTAACCAAGCTAGCTCAAACAACACTAGACTCGTTAATAAACGAGCCGAGCTCGAGCTGGGGTAAAGCTCAGCTCGACTCGGCTCGGCTCATTTGCAGCCCTAATATGGATAACCGAACTGATTATAATTATCGGTTAACTGCATGTTATCGACTTGGTTAAAGTTAGTTTGGAGCCCTACATATTTTAAAATATTGTATGTTGTCCTTTTTAATACTACAATAAAATATAATCATACAAATAATTTATTATAATTTAACCTAAATAAATTAAATCATATTTTTAAGAAATAACATCAATCCAATACAACACATATGTAACACCTTAGGCGAATCCCACATCGACAAAGCACGAGAGAGATCCATGGTTCATAAGTAGGAAACCAACCTTAACTAACAAGATGCGTTTTGTGGTGAAATGAACGAGTTCTTGTGAGAACTCCAAAGTTAAACGTGCTCAGTGTGGAGTACAACAAGGATGGGTGACCTTATGGGAAGTCACCTTGAATTGCACCTCAAGTAGAAAACCTTGAGGGTCAAGGCCCAAAAGATGCGTTTTGGGGTGTAATGGAGCAGTTCTTGTAAGAACTCCGAAGTTAAACGTGCTTAGTGTGGAGTACAACAAGGATGTGTGACCTTATGGGAAGTCACCCTAAATTTCACCCCAAGTCGAAATCCGTGCGGGTATAGAGGCCCAAAGCGGATAGTATCTTGTCGCGAAAAGGTTCGGGATGTTATGTAACACCTTAGGCGAATCCCACATCGACAAAGCAAGTGAGAGATCCATGGTTCATAAGTAGGAAACTGATCTTAACTGACAAGACGCGTTTTGGGGCGAAATAGAGGAATTATAGTAAGAGCTTCGAAGTTAAACGTGCTCAGTGTGGAGTACAACAAGGATGGGTGACCTTATGGGAAGTCACATTGAATTGCACCTGAAGTCAAAAACCGTGAGGGTCGAGGCCCAAAGCGGACAATATCTACGTCAGGAAAAGATTCTGGATGTTACAAGTGGTATCAGAGCCTCTCCGCGTCCCTCTTGAACGATGGTGGGGCAAACTTTAACGAGGGCGTTGAGTCCCAAGGGGGTGTATGTAACACCTTAGACGAATCCCACATCGACAAAGCACGAGAGAGATCCATGGTTTATAAGTAGGAAACCGACCTTAACTGACAAGACGCGTTTTGGGGTAAAATGGAGGAGTTCTTGTGAGAACTCCGAAGTTAAACGTGCTCAGTGTGGAGTACAACAAGGATGGGTGACCTTATGGAAAGTCATCTTAAATTGCACCCAAGTTGAAAACCGTGAGGGTTGAGGCCCAAAGCGAACAATATCTTCGTCGCGAAAAGGTTCAGGATGTTACAACATATCGTGAACAAAAAAACCAAATTCGAACTCAAACACATAAAATTACAAATAATCAAAACTCTTCATCCAATTAGCAAGGCATCATTAAATACAAGCACCACAAGATCATCATCATTCACAAACATCAAATAAACAAAGACTACTACGGTGAGTGGTCTGCTTTGGCAACTACAAGGGGAGTATGAGAGGTGACTTTCGAGTTCTAACTCTTAAACATATTTGAGATTTTGGGATGAGGCTTGTTTGCAATAGGTGGAGATTGAAATGTTTGGAATTGCTACTTTGGTTGGATTTGAATCTTGGGACTTTTTCCCTTTGCCAAAACCCAAAACTATGTCGAAAAAGACCGCATCATCAACCATGCAAACATCATCTCCATTCTCCGTCTCTTCAGCTCCCACCTCGTATCTGGCTTTGTCATTGCTTGTGTATGGGATGTTCAGGTCGAACCCAAATAAACATGTATGTTCAGCTCCCACTCCATCTCTGCCATCGTCGTTGCTTAAGTAGTCGTCCATTGTATTCTGGCGACCGCATAAAGATATTGTCGGAGCTCTGTAGCTACCAGGACTGTGGTTTGGTTTGATGAGGAAGGATCCATAAATGGAAGGGGAAGAGACGCGTGCGTTTATGGTTAGTGGTAATGAAACCCACCAATCGCACTGCATAATTGTTTCGCATGTATTTATGTTCTTAATTCAAATTCTTTGTCATTAAGCTACTTCCAAAAAAGCCCTTGTTGTGTTTTGGACCATCGGATGAGGAAGAAAGACGAACAACTGAAAAGGGAAAAATGAAACTCACAACCCTCTCAGAAATTGTGACGCTATCCAATCCAACCAACGTATATGTTTGATCACATTCTATGAGAAGATCAACTCCAACCACACCCATTAAATCTAACACATTCCCCTGTTAAATACTCACTTTTTCATTCTCAATTCACTTTTTACTCTAAACATACAACTCTTAAATCTAATACCTCACCTTTTTCTTTTGATTTGTTTAATTTAGAGTATACTTATCTATATTCTAATTTATCTTTTTAATTTTTCATACTTCTTATTATTCTTTTAAAGTAGACATTACTTCGTCTTTTTGTGTAGCATAAAAATGTTATTTTATGTTATTTCTTACACTTTAGTGTATCACTGCCACATGACCGCGTTTCTCCTTCTGCAAAAAGTCATATATTCCAACTGGTGTGAGTGCGAAGAAAAGTGATGACTTGGGAGGGGCAGCTCTTAGGTTCGATCCTCCAAGCCATCAGGTGGGTGTTCCCAGAGGCACAATGGGGATCCTAGTGGTGGGACTTCGCAAAGCGGGGTAAACTCAAGCATGTGAACCCCCAGGTTTAGTAGACCCCGCTATCACAAAGTGGCACGTGGGGTTGAGATTCCTGGGTTATAAAAAAAAAACAAACGTTTCTTCTTCTTTACAATAGAATATAGGGTTAATATATTTGTATAGCCTCAACATTTCACATAATAAACATCCGGACCAATCTTTTCTATCTATAACATCATGGCCTGAACTATACATCAAAGTAATGAAATTGGCCAAACCCGAAAATTGAATGTTATCTTGGACGGTCAAATGCGTTGACTAACGGTGAACGCGCCACGTTAGCACCTTTCACTTAAAAAATTCCACCTATTACTATTTATTTTTTTCATTTTGAATAACAACTGAAAAATGGCAGCGACCGGAAATTCAATTTTCATTTTTTCAATTTTTTTATTCAAAATGACAAAATAAATAGTAATAGGTGGACAATATAAATATTCTTAAGTAAAGGTGTTGACGTGGCGTGTTGACCGTTAGTAAACGCGTTTGCCCGTCCAAGATAACGGTCAATTTTTCGGGTTTGACCAATTTCGTTACTTTGGTGTATAGTTCAGACCATGATGTTATATATCGAAAAAATTGGTCAGGATGTTTATTATGTGAAAAGTTGGGTCCGTACAAATATATTAACCCTAGAATATAACCTCTATAAAAGAAGTTTGTTTTTAATAGTGTTTTCTTTGTAATCCAAGATGCGTCTGTTGTAGATCGGAAGAATATTGTCGACGATGCTCCGATTGATGGCAAGTACAAACACATATCTTGCTCGGCGAAACTCCCAACCGGCCCGTCCGATACTATGCTCCGATTTACTAATCCACCTTCTCTCAATATAATCATAAAATAAAATTGATGTCAAGCTAACCAAAAATACAGCCCACCTCCAAGAAGGCTCTTTCAGCTTGGCTCTTCCTATCCTTTTTAGGGTTCCGATTACGGCCGACGAGATTGATGAGGGGAAAGAGACAAAAAGAGGAGATGGCGGAGGCGGTTCCGGACGGGTCCGGATAGTATAACAACACCCATAGTGTTGTTATACTAACAACAGGATTCATTAAGGGTATAAAGGTAAACTAACACAAATTAACAAATTAAAATTATAAAAAATAAAATTTCAATCCCCAGCCACCGTCTCTCCGTCTCTCGATCTCTTCTCGCTGTTGCTGGAAATCGAAGCCGACTGCGGTGGATGTCGTAGACGACAAGGGCACCGACGGCGCCGCTTGAGCTTCTTGTTGGCGGTCGATTCCGACGCCGAGCTCCGCCCACGAGTTCTTCCCCATGGCGAACAGCCTCTTCTTTTTCCAGTCCTCCCCTGTATCTTCATCCGCCGCGGATTGCGCTGGGCAGCCAACCGATAGCGATGCGGAGAAGAAGATTGAAAGTCGGGACGGTCAAGTTGCTAGATCGGATATCAAATTCACGTACCGCCCTTCCAGGCCGGCTTCACGTTGTGGTTAAAGAGAGCCCCCTTAGTTCCGGCGCCGATCGGTTTAGGTCAACCGAATGGGTCGTCGACTCAGAAAGACAGGTTGGAATCGGCACCGGATGAAGAAGAGAAAGACTGGAGCGAGGAGGATTTCTTGATTCTGAAGAAGCAAATGGTGAAGAATCCAGTGGGCAAGTCGAGGAGATGGGAGGTGATCGCCGAGGCGTTCAACGGGAGGCACGGAGTGGAGAGCGTGATTAAGGCGGCGAAGGAAATGGGCGAGAAGAAATCGGATGACAGCGATTCATACGCCAAGTTCTTGGAGAACAGGAAGCCAGTCGACGCCAGGGTGTTTTTGGGGGAATTAATGAGTTCCCTGTGAAAGTAACGTGGGTGTGGCCAAGTGGAGGTGGGGGTTAAAAACCAATGGATGTATTTTAGTGTTTTTTGTATGAATTATTGTCTTTGTGGTATGTATTTGGGAGTTATTGGTATGTAATCTACGAGTATCTCATAATCACATTAGAACTCTTCTAATACAAAGCACAAACAAGATAAAGCAAACCCAAAAAAAGCATACCAGAATCCTTCCAATCCACACTACAAATCGCTTAAAACAAACCAGAAACTTCACAAAGCAAACCACAAATCTCCTAAAACAAACCAGAAACCTCGCAAAGCAAACCACAAAATTTTCGAAAGCACACCAGAAACCTCATAATGCAAACCAGAAACCTCCGAATGCATACCACAAATCTCCTAAAACAAACCAGAAACCCCACAATGCAAACCACAACATTTGCGAAAGCACACCAGAAACCTCCTAATGCAAACCACAAATACAGTAAACCAAACCACAAAAAAACAAACCATAAACGTCCCAATGCAGACCACAAATATATTAAAACAAACCAGAAACCTCACAATGCAAACCACAAATTTTTCGAAAGCAAACCAGAAACTTCCTAATGCAAACCACAAACACGATAAAGCAAACCAGAAACTTCTTAATGCAAACCACAAACACGATAAAGCAAACCACAAAAGACATACAAAAATATGAGAAACCAAACCATAAATCTCACAATGCAGACCATAACATCCGATGACCGTCAGTGAGTAGATTCCGGCGCCGATAAGCATATTCCGGCCCCGATGACTAGATTCCGACGCCGATAAGCATATTCCGACCACAGTGAGCATATTCCGACGCCGGTAAGCATATTCCGACGCCGGTAAGCATATTCCGGCCACAAATAGCATATTCCGGTGACCGGCGACCATTTTCCGGCGACCGGTAGCAGAATTCCGGCGACCAAAAATTTGGGCAGAAAATAAAAAAATATTTTTTTATTTTTTTATTTTTTTATTTTTTTATTTTTTTATTTTTTTATTTAAATAAATTTTTCATAATGACAATTATACCCCTGCTTTGATTTTACACTAGGTCAACTCATCTAATAAAAAGTCATCACAATCCTAGCTTCCTATTGGTTGGAGACTAGTGTTGTTACAATAACAACAAAAGGGGTGTTGTTATAGTAACCGGTCCCGTTGCGGACGAGGCCAAGGCTGGCGCTGGTGTGACCGACGCATGCGCAGTCGGACGCGATGCAAGTTGCTTCAGGGAGAGAGAACGAGAAAAGAAACAGCCGGACAGTCGGAGCAGCGGGGATTATTCCAGTCGGACTCGATCGGAGCGGGAGCGGATGCAGGGGTGTGTAGATCTGAGGGAGGAGGCGGCGGGGGCGAGAGGCGATATGATCACCGGCCATGAGCGAGGCGCATTCACCCTTCCATCTCTTACCAAGATCTTCCGCAGCGATGGCGCCGGTCAACTGGATCCGACGCTATCGTGCGCCCTAGCAGTTCTCGCTGCCCAACGCCATCGTGTGTTTCCATCCTGGACTAGCCTCCAGCCATGATTTCTTTTACTAACTTTTTGTAGGGCTTTAAAGGAGCTTCAGCCTGCCGGTGAACGGGTCTTTCTGATGATGACAAGTTCTCCTACGCACGGCGAATCTACGGTGGTACAGTTGCATTTGCTGGTGCACTTACACCCCACGATAATGCTTTGGACGGTTACAATTCCACGGCGGTTGCCACCATTCTAAACGCGGGTTCTAACCACATTCAAACGCAGTAGCTCATATGACTTGTAGAGCATCTTTAGTGGAGATCTGATAGCATTTGAATTTTGTTTTGTCCTTTAAGGGGTCGATTATGTGTTTCTTTTTTGCAGGTATCTTGCACATCAAATCTTATATATCTAGTCTATTGGAACTCGGCTTATAGGAGACGTGGAGTTCGTACTCGTCAAATTGGTGCTTCAAGAAGTTTGTCGCAAGAAGACTTCCTCTGCGTTTATTTGTTCTTTATGTTTCTAGGCATACTAATAGGGCTGCCCATTGCGTGGCATACACGGCCATTGCATCGGTAGCAACCCTTTTGGTTGACTACCGCTCTTTTATTTTCACCGCATTGTAACACCCTATCTATTACGAACTATCTATGACAAAAAAAAAAGAAGATGTGTCTGTTGTTAAGAATTTCTTTCACTATCAATTGAAAGTATTTCACATTTTCTTTATTATCTACATTTTGATTAATACAAATTTGTTGTTAAATTTGTATTTTTTTCCCATACATGTAACATCTTAGGCGAATCCCACATCGACAAAGCACGGGAGAGATACATGGTTGATAAGTAGGAAACTGACCTTAACTGACAAGACGTGTTTGGGGTGAAATGGAGGAGTTATAGTGAGAACTCCGAAGTTAAACATGCTCAGTGTGGAGTACAACAAGGATGTGTGACCTTATGGGAAGTCACCTTGAATTGCACCCCAAGTCAAAAACCGTGAGGGTCGAGGCCCAAAACGAACAATATCTTCGTCGGGAAAAGGTTCGGAATGTTACAACAACCATGGGCGGGAAAGTGGGAAAATGGAATTGAAAAATAAAAGGTGGGAAAAAGGAAGGTTTCACTTTCACCCCAAATTCTCTCTAACCATGCAAAATGGTGTCTTTTTGTTTGTTTATTAACATCCCAAACTTTTTCCCGACAATATACTATCGGCTTTGAGTCTCTACACCCGCACGGATTTCGACTTGGGGTGCAATTCAAATTGACTTCCCATAAGGTCACTCATCCTTGTTGTACTCCACACTGAGCACGTTTAACTTCAGAGTTCTCACAAGAACTCTTCCATTTCCCCCCAAAAAGCGTCTTGTCATTTAAGGTTAGTTTCCTACTTATGAACTATGGATCTCTCCCGTGCTTTGTCGATATGAGATTCGTCTAAGGTGTTACAGTTGTGGAGAGTGTAAAGAAGCCCAAACAGGAAAAAAAAACACTTTGGTAACGTATTGGTCTCCGCGGTCTGTGGATAAAATATTCTTGGCTGGCCCAAAACCAAAGCCTTAGGCATCCGAGATCAGACCGTACTCACAGTAAAAAGTAGCCCATATGTCGGAAGCCCAAGCCCAAGACAGAACCGAATCGGAATTGGACGTGAGAGGGGCAAAACCGTCAGACAGAAAATTGCCTGAAATCCGATTCATCGCCCCCTATATAATCCTCGATCCTCAAAAACTAGGGTATATAAGCTCCCCAAATTCTCTCCGCCCAAAATTTCCCGAACCCACACCGCAGAATCAAACGTTCGAACGCCCAAACCTCCGTCGCCACCTCCATCTGTAAATCATCTCTTCCCTTTCTCCTCTCTTCCATTTCCGATTCCTGTCTCAATTTCTTCCGGAACTTCCGATTTCTCGCTTCTCCCATCTCTGGTGTTTTGCTCCCGTGCGAATTCTTGTTCATGTTTCCTTCCGGTTGCTGATCACGATGCTGGGGTGGGGGGAGAGAGTTTTGACTTGATCGTCTTTCTTATGCGTTTTCTGTTTGTTGGTGTGCAGATCTTTGGCTAGTTATGGCGACGTTCGAGCTCTACAGGAGATCGACGATTGGGATGTGCTTGACGGAGACTTTGGACGAGATGGTTCAGAGTGGTACTCTCAGTCCGGAGCTCGCGATCCAGGTCCTGGTTCAGTTTGATAAGGTATCCATGGCTGAATTACTGTTTAGCTGTAGCTGAACTAGCTGTTGAAAATTCCATGCTCTGACCGTTGCTTTGTGGATATGGTGGGGGGTTTTATTAGTCTATGACTGAGGCACTAGAAACGCAAGTGAAGAGCAAGGTCACGATCAAGGTAATCCGCCAAAGCCATTTTATTTGTTATCTTCCTTGCGTTATGTTGTAAGGGACTAGTTGTGTTGTTCGTTTGGGAGATTAATTGAAATTCAGTTTTGGTTTCCTCTGCTTGTTTATGTTGATTAGGCGTCTTGGTTCTTGACCTATGGTGTATTATCTTGTTCGTGTTATTACAAGTGGGAATTCTGGTTCTTTCTGCTCTAGATTTTTTCAAAGAAGGTGTGATCTGCTTTGGTGTGGATTAGGGATTGGCGCTAGGGTGGCACATTGAGATCTGATTTGATTTGATCTGAGCTGAAGTTGCTGCCTGTTTGCTAAATGTTTCACAGTGATTTTATGAAATTGGTTTCTTGTGATTTACATTGTTATTTCTGACTAACAACACTGGAGCCCTGCCATAGTTCACCAAGCCCTTGTTGATAATTGCTTGAATCCCCGCTTTAGTGATTATCTTATATGTACAACCCTAGGGTGATTTTCTGGTAATGCATTAAATTATTTAGGCCTACTGTTTTTTACTTGTCCCAAAATAGGTAACTGAGTCAATGTGCCTTGGTGGTCTGACGAGACCGATTCTGGAATTGTTACCTTCTTTACTGTTTTGGTCTAATCATAGATGCATTACTACTTTTTCCTGCCCGAGCACAATCGGCTCTGACACCCATAAAATCAATTTGTGCGGTTCTGATGATATTTCCGGTGACCTTTGTATTTTTATGAACTGATGCGCCCAGATGTCTCCGAGGTTAATGTCCTCTAATATTAATCCAAAGATCTGGCATCCCATTGTGATGAAATGTGAAATGGTATTGTTTGTGTGTATGACTAATTTGTATGTATAATAAGTTAGCGAATGTGCGTGCCCACCACATGTCGTCTGCATCTTTGCATGAATGGTTGGACATGAAAGGAAGTTGAATAATTACAACAAGGCAGGAAGCTGTGCATATAAACGACATCTTACATGGGTTTCATGAGGGAACCTAGCAATAGCTTTGAGCATTGAGTGTTGGTTTGTAGTAGTATATCAGTTTCAGAACTCTGCTTTACCTAGGTGACTTTCTTATTTATGTTTGCAAGAATTTGTGAGTGCACGTACTCAGTCTGTAGCATGTCTTGAATAATTACATTCAGTAGTTATGCTGAATTAGGTTAATTCCTTGAGCATTTGTCATATTGTGAGTAGCTAATTTGGAGTTCAATTAAGGACCAATTTGTATACTGTAAGCTGGAGAAAGAATGGATAACAAGTCAACACAAATTTTCTGTACCTGGAATGGATCATTGAGCATACTATCCACTAGAAATATTGTGGCAAAAGAATTTTCTGTCATGTTGATGCAAGTCCTAAAGGAAATAGCCATGTTTGTGTGTCATCACCTCAAAAACCTCTCTTCACTTTTTCCTCTTACCGCTCTAATGACCATATTCGTTCTTGTGTTTTCTGTGAGTACAGGGGCATTTACACACATACAGATTCTGCGACAATGTATGGACCTTCATATTGCAGGATGCATTGTTCAAGAACGAAGAAACCCAGGAGAACGTGGGCCGTGTTAAGATAGTAGCATGTGATTCTAAGCTGCTCACACAATGAGGTTCCGGGAAGCGATGAACCCCATTCGGTAACTCTTGATGGTAAGGCGAGGAAGGATGGGAGCATGATGAAGGAGCACTGAAACCGGGAACTAGTTTTACCAAAATTTCAAAAGAAAAAAAAAAGAAAAGAATATTGTTGTATAGCCATCATCCATCATGATCATCATCATCTCAAACCCCTCTTATCATCTTGATGTTTGCAAGAGAACAGAGAACTTCTGGCTTTGGATTATATATCATGCTTTATTTTGTAATTTCTTTTCTTTTTTAAGACTTTCAGAGAAATTATCAATGTTGTTATGAGATGAGACAGAGATGTAGTAGTGAATTGAGAAGTCCACTGTGGATTATTATTCCATCAATGGCAGTCTATCAATTGTAACGCCATGAATTCTTTTTCTATACCCTCTACCGGGTGCTGTCTCGTGAATTGTTTACAGGTTATTTCCTCTTCTGTTCAAGGGTTCTTTGGTTCTGTGTTTGTTCTTGGTCTGCAGCGCCTAACAAACAGGTTAATGCATGCTTTCCGACCACGTTTCACGAGTTGGGATCGGCGGCAGCGGCGGCGACCCTTTTGGTTGATTTGCCGTCGCTGTCGAATCCAAATGCAGGGATGGAAATGGAATCGGAAGCCCAAGTCAGGGAGAAGTTGTGCAGCTCTCTTTCTCTGCAAATGGTCCACTAATTATATGGGTGGAATCGGATTCTGGGTTTTGATAGGACCGACTTTTTGGAAAAGATGAGACCCCAAGAATCTGCCACTAAGTTTTGGCACTGGAATTTCAGAGGAGCTAGAGCGGACGGCGGAGAAAATTGCCATGGCAGGCAAGGGCAACTAACTGCTTCGACATACCTCTCCCTAGTGCGTGTTGTCAAAATTGTGAAAATGAAAGGAGAATTGAACGGTTTCCAGCTCTTATGCCCATGGGAGACTGAAAAGCCAGGGATTCCTGAAACCGACAGAAAGACTAAAGAAAGAAGAATCGCCTGGATTCGATATTTGCCTTATAAAGAAGGAAGATGAGCTCTGAAGTGTGATTCCGAGGAGAAGATCACCATTCATCCGGCTGCTGCAATGGCAGCCTCAAAGGTTCCTCCACGAGCTCATCAGTTTCAGCTCGTGGACGGCATGCAACTCCAGGTGATTACAGATATGAATTGCCCAATACCCGAAAGTTTGAATTTTTGGTCTTCATTTCAGCATTTTCCTTTTATTTTTTTGTGTTTGTTTCCTGGCTTTGTAGATTAATGTAAGTGGATCTTTGAATGGACGCAACGTTAGAGTTGAGCTCCAGCTGAAGAATTGCAACAGGACTTGGGTTCTTCACTGGGGTTTCACTTTCCCAGGCAACAGGTAGCCACCGCCACCTTAGCTAGCTCGTGTACACGGACACGATACTCCCTTTGTGAAGGTGGTTTCCATGTGGATATGTAACTGTTCTGTCTGTCTTTTCTTCCAGGAGCTGGTTCATTCCTGGTGATGGATCAAACTCCTACAAGCCTGGTGCACTGCAGACCCCATTTACTAAGGTTCGTTGTTGTCGTCCAAGCTCTGAAGCAGACTCCTTTACCTGTGGTTTGATTTATTTGAGAGCTACAAATTTGATTGAAGGTACAGAGTGGAGATTTATATGTGGTCAACATCGAGCTGCTGGATCCAAAGATTCAAGCTATTGAATTTGTCTTGAAAGATGGTAGCCGCGACAGATGGTTGGTTCTTTAACTTCACACTCTCTTACTTGCCCCGTCTGTTCTTCAGGTCCCTTGTAGTCATTCTGAATTTTCAATCTAACGGTATTTTCTTACGATTGTTTATTTGCTATCAGGTTGAAACTGAACAATGGGAATTTCAGAGTGGAGCTACCTGAACATGATGAAAATGTTGTCACTCAGCATATACCAAAAGATGTGATTGACCGCAGGGCTTATCAGATCTGGGAAAGGAAGGGTAGGCCAATGGGCTCACCGCAGCAACAGAAGGTCCAGTCAACATCCACACTTACATGACATTCTATGTCAGCCTGTGTTCTTATGTATTATTACTTTTACTCAATTTATTCCCATATGCAGCAAGATTATGATGATGCTGTAAGGGAGCTTCAATTCCAGTTATCCAGAGGATTGGCTTTGGATGAGCTACGGGGAAATTCCAACACTGAAGTTACCAGAACTCCGACTCTTACTAGAGATCTGCCCAAGGATCAAACGGTAAAATCTCTTTACCGCAGGAGACATGATGTGGGGCAGTGGTTGCATAAGCCAATGGGACGCAGCAAAAGCTTCAATCGCCAAGTGTCCGCCTTGATGGATCTCGTGGAGAAACGTTATGGAGGAGGAGATGATGTGGTGTCTAGACAGAGCTATTATGCAGGCAACTGTGAGATAGTGGTTAGTTTTCTGTCATGAACATGACTAATTCAAATTGTTCAAGCCATTATTGAGATAAATGGATGAAGTTGTCATGAACATGGATTGCAAAGAATCATGAGTTTGTCAAAGTGGAACAGACAAGACTCATCTCTGGAAACACCTAATATCTAACTACCAAATTGCTTAGGATCGAAGAAAGCTCTGTGTAAAATCAACATGTTACATCTAGACTTATCTCTAGCTAATGGACTTTTTCTTTATAAAAGTGTTCTGAGTAGTAAAGCAATGGTTACATACAGGTCCTTTTGAGAGTGATTAGAGGTGAAGTTCATGTTTTGGTGGCAATGAACATTAAAGGTTCCATCGTTCTTCATTGGGGGTTATCCAAGTTGTCTTCGGTGGAGTGGTTGGTGAGTTCCCTTGTTAGACCCAGCCTATATCGATTTCGCTTCCTCTTTAACTGAACTACAATGTGAAAACGTCTTGCAAGGCTCCTCCACCTGATCTACTGCCTGAGAAATCGAAACTTGTGCCGGGTGCTTGTCAGACATATTTCACTGAAGTAGCCACATCAAATGGGTTCTTTCAGGTAGTTAATATGACCTCATTTTGGTTATAATCATCCACTTTGACATGGCTTTGTACTAACCCTCCCCAATTTTTGCACATGCATACAATTACATGCGGTATCGGTGGGGAAAAATATAGGTTGTGGATATAAATCTGCGGCAACAGAAGTTTGAGGGCATTCAGTTTGTGATATGGACAGGCGGTTCATGGATAAAAAACAATGGGGCAAACTTTTCTTTCTATTTGAAGGCAATCAACGTGAGTGAAAAAGGCTTCTAATGTTTTGCTGTCATTATACTGGATCCTTAGCGCAGATTCTGTTTACTCTTTGGTATTCAGGGTGGGGGAGAAGTGAAAGGCAGCATGAACTGGTTACTTGATGAGATAGCTCAACGTGAAAAGGAGGCTGAGAGGTCCTTGATGCACAGGTTAAGCTTTCACAACTGAATGTTATCTACATGATGGCTGACGAAGCATGAGGACATGAACATGATAAAGGGATCCATTTTTTGCTGACCTCTGCAAATTGATAAATTAACTTTTTACATAATTTTACAGGTTCAGCATTGCTACAGAACTAACAGATCGCTGCAAGGGTGAAGGCGAGTTAGGTTTGATTGGGATATTAGTGTGGCTGAGGTTCATGGCCAGTAGGCATCTCACCTGGAACAAGAATTACAATGTCAAACCTCGGTAAAGATCGTTTGAGCTCTGATAAGAATTCTTGTCACATCCTGGATAATGATAACCATTATAGGAAGACTGTAAAAGATGGCTATATTTCAACTTCTCAATATTTTCCTGTATGAGTATGTTAAGGTCTCGGAGATCATGTATAACCTGCGTAAGGGATGCAACGGTAATACACTAATTCTATTCCCTTGCTGGCTGTCCAGTGAAATTAGTGAAGCCCAAGATAAGTTCACGAACTTACTGCAAAGGATCTATTTGAACCAGCCGAGTGAGAGAGAGATTGTGCGACTAATTATGTCATGTGTTGGCCGTGGAGGCAAAGGTGATGTTGGGCAGAGAATACGTGACGAGATACTTACTATTCAGGTTATTCAAATTCTTTGCTATTATTGCTTGCCCTTTATCAAACTTGTTATGGAATTATCTTGCTTGACTGACTTTAATGTATCAGAGAAATAATGAGTGCAAAACTGGGATGATGGAGGAATGGCACCAAAAGTTGCACAACAACAGCAGCCCGGATGATATCATCATTTGTGAGGTATGTCCTTCGGATTGATTAAGCTGTGTTTGGTGTAAGTTTTCTGTGCTTTTTAAGCATGAGACATCCTAATTCCTAAACATGTTATGTTTCTGTGTTTCATACAGGCACTCTTGAATTATGTAACTAGTGGTTTCAGAACTGATGTTTACTGGCAAACACTGAATGCCAATGGGTTGACAAAAGAGAAGCTTGCCAGTTATGACCGTCCAATTACATCAGAACCTCGTTTCAGAAGCGATGCTAAAGACGGTCTCATCCGAGACCTTACCATGTATTTGAAGACATTAAAAGTACTTTCATCTGTTCATAATTAGTTTTCATGTTTACTGCTCCAAGCTCAGCATGGATAGCCCTTAATGATTCTTGTAACTGCTCACTTGTGTTTTCTTTAGGCTGTACACTCAGGTGCTGACCTTGAATCTGCAATTGAAAGCTGTTTGGGCCCTCCTTCCAATGTAACCCTACCCTCTCTTCTATTCAGTATTCTCTAATGCTTGGGGGTTATTCTGTGGTTCAAAATTTTGAAAGGCAATCTTCCGTCTTATATCTCAGGGGCACTACCGTGGAAGCCCAGACCGGATTGCTTCTATTGGTGGCCTAACACCAAAGCTACAGGTGCCTTATTGTTTGGCAGATCTTTTATACAATATGTTCTGTTCAGATTCTGTGCGTCTTTTTCCGCACAATGTTCTATTTGCAGGCATTTAAACGACTTTTTTATTTCATGGCTAATTATCAGGACTCCTTGAACTTTGTCAGATCCCATGTTGCTGATCAGAATATAGCTCCTCTGATGGAGGTTAGCTCACTGTTGCCAGATAGTATGAACGTTTACAAACATTTGAACTGAGAAATTCTCTTCACATATCATATTGGATTTCGCATTCATTTTCCAGAAATTACTGGAATCTCGGATTGAACTCCGCCCGTTCCTGTTAACAAGTCATGGAAAAGCTAAAGACACTCTTTTTCTTGATCTTGCTCTGGATTCAACGGTCAGAACAACGTTGGAAAGGGCACTCAAAGATCTGAGCTCTGTGCAACCTCCTGTAAGTACTCTAATGCATATCCACATATACATTTCGGTTGCCAAACGCCAGCTTTCAACTTCACATTGCTTGAAAGGAATTAATACAGGAAAAAATAAGAAGTCATCTTTGGTTTCTTGTCTCTGAATAGGAATTTGCATTCTACATTACTTTGGTGCTGGAAAATTTATGCCTTTCCACTGTCAATAATGAGGACCTCATTTATTCCATAAAGGTACATTACGGTTACTGCCCCTATCTCCCATATCCCTTGAATTGCTTGAATGAAGAGATGAATGTGTATGTTCAATTTTCCCATTTTACATTCCCCGTTAATCGGAGCTTCAGTCAAGTCCACCCAGAAAACGAACCCGCTTTACACTCTAACCATTAATGGCTGCTTGTATCTGTTCTAAGGTTCTTCCTTTAGTTTCTGGTACCACCTTGATTACAAACACTATGGCTAGTGCGTTGATTGCAGCATAAACAAGAAACGTACCTGCATAACATTGACAGTTTCTCATCAATCAAATCGCACTCTTAACTCCATCTTAATGTCCATCAATCTATACGAGTATTATATCTTTACCATAGGAGCTCCAGGACATGAGGAAATTGTATGTGTAGGAAACTGCCCATGCACCAAACCAGTTAACTAAGGTGGCTAAAGCTCCAGCTGCCCCTTTGATGTTTATTGGAAATATCTAATACAGAAAAGAAAATTCCGACAAAGAAAGGGAAATTTGTCAGAGTTAAATTATGAAAGAATATGATAATTCCTTAATGTGCTCTTTCTGTCAAATGAAATGATAACAGTTACCTCGGACATGATGACCCATGGAACAGCTCCCATCCCTGCTGAAAAGGACCCAATGTATAACTGCAACTCAAAAAACAAGAAGAGACTGTTAGAAATTCAAACCTTTTTGAGTTACTAAGGGAAGGCTGTATTAGTTTTATGCCAGAGTGTGTTTAGGGTTTACCAGTATGCCAGTTACCGCCATCGCGGGAACATAGTTCAGAGCCAATTCATTGACCTAATTTCACACAGCATAAAGACGTCATAAAAGATAAAAACACATTAGATTTGCATTCTCAAGAGACAGACAAAAGGATAAGATCATTAGCTTTGAGAGAAATAGACCTTTAGGTAGAATGAAAGGCCTGTTATCAAGCAGGCCAGCACCAAACCAGATCCAGAAACCTGTTCAGAAGATGATGGTGAGTTTATCCTGATCAGGGTAAGGGGAAAGTGAAGATATTTTTTTGATCGGTGGCCGGTTTTTACCAGTAAAAGAGGCTTCCTTCCTGCTCTGTCAATCACTTGTGTAATTAACAGTGTCACTACAACCTGAAGAATTTCAAACAGAAGCCTATTAGGTGTTTGGATTATGAGTCCTTTTTAAGGATTTCTTTTGAGGGTTTAGAAAAACCTGAAGAATGGCATAGGTAATAGTTCCAACACTTGGGGAGAATCCTAACACAAATGACATTGACCAATAAGTTAACAGTAATAAGAAAGTTTCACTGGGGGTTAATCCAACATTTCGCAACTTGCAAGTATATTTATATATCAACCTGCTGACTTGAAGATGTTACTGACATAAAAGCACACTCCATTTATTCCTCCAAATTGTTGAGCCACCATCAACCCAACACCAATCTGGCAAGCCACAACAAAATCATACACAAAAAAGAAGCAAAGCGAAAAACAGAAGGCATCCCTGAAATGAATAGCAAAGAAATGAGAGAACGCACAATGACTGATCGTAGATATCTTTTGTTGAACAAGTCCAGCAGCTTTACTTTAGGAAGCCGGTCAAGTGTTTCAATGTATTCCTGTAGACATTATAAAATATTAGCTTTTGTCATCATTCATTATATTTCTTGAACCTTACAAATTGTTCACCAAGGTTTCAAACTTTCAAACCTTAATCTCAGCTGCCTCCTCCACAATGTCAGCATCCTTGCCCCTAAGTTTCTGCAGTGCAACCTCGAACTCCTTTTGCCGACCTCTCTTTGCCTGCAGGATAGATACAAAACAACATACAATGTCAGCAAAATGCAAACGATCCCTATATAGACAACAATAATTTAGTTTAGGGTACCAGCCATCTAGGAGATTCTGGGATGAGAAACAGTCCTATAAGCAGGATTCCGCAAGGGATGAGTCCTGCAAAATGCCACAATCAGTTAGATCCAATTTCCTCTCAAACATTTGTCATTCACCAAAATGGAGAAACTGATGAGCCTTTTTTCTCTCTTTACCAGTTAAAGCGAGAGCCCTCCACGTTAGAAATGTGCCGATAATGAATGATACCGATGCTCCTCCACAGATCATAACCTGATTCAAAGTAGCTAGGGCCCCTCGAAGATTCTTGGGCGCTATTTCGGATATGAAAACAGGCACCTGATCGTTCATCAACATCATTTCAAGTTTCTCACCATTGAAATAGAGATCTAAAGCAATATTTTCCAAAGAAAAAGCAAAATGTTACCACGTAGGAGAACACTCCCATCCCATAACCCGTTGCCAATCTGCCAATGTCCAGTGCGACTACTCCCTTTTGTTATAAACCAGAAACAACAACTTCAGAATTTCAGACATACCAAAATATACAAATCCAATTTTTCTACAAACGCACCTGAGCAAAGTAAATGGCAATCCAGCCTGCAGCACAGAAGGCGCTTGATAATCTCATCGCCTGCATATGGAAATAAAGATGCTTACTTTTTGCTTCTGAAAAAACACCCAAAAAGTTAAGCTAGCTGCTTCTGTGGTTTGATGGTTAAACTTAAAAATTACCCCTTTTCGGCCCATGAGATCAGCCAGTGATCCGCTTGTGATTGCACCAATCATTGCCCCAAACGTCAGAATTGAACCAAACATAGAATACTGCACATATCTCAATAACTCTGAATTCAGTGCTATAGTTTATAAGCCACAACTCGTTTGCGAGAGTACAATAATAGACTCTACCTCGGCCAGAGACAGGGAGAGATCTTCCCTGATTGCATCTTGTGTTGGCGATGAAAATCCCACCTACAACAAGCCAGCAACATTGTTTGACATATGATCAAAGAATTTTCATGTGTGTAAAGCAGAAGCTAATTTACAACAAGAAAAACAATATGTAAACTTACACAGCATCCAAATACATAAGACCCGCAAACAGCGACGAAAGTGCTGAGATAGACCATCCATAGGCTCTCATTCCTGCTCTTCTGCTGCAAACCATCTTCTTCCACCGATGCCGTGGCTGCTGGATGATCATTCTTCAGAATGAGTGGCTCCTCCATGTGGCTGCGTAGACTAAGCTACAGAGGTTGCAAAGAAGGCTGGAATCTAGTTCAGCCAACCTTGTGTGTTTGGCAAATCAGTCCACAGAGATGAAGTGGAGAATAAAAGGGGAAATGACAACCAATATTTCCAAGTGTACCCATAGGATGCATTCGTCCCTGATTTGGCTTTATTTGGGTTGTTAATAAATTTGATTAGGATAAGCATTTCCTTCCCGGGGTGTTAATCAACGTGGAGTACCCATTGTGTAGATTGTTGTTGTCTTCTTTTTGTCCTTTGATCTGTGACCCACGTTGCAGTATTCAAACAAAATTAAGTTTCAGCCAATAGAAAGGCTGCGATGAGAACTTGGTTAGAGTACTGACATACAGAGATCAACATGTGATGAGGTTGTTAAATTTCAATACTTAAGAACGTGAGATGGCGATTCAACAACGTCAGCACGTGCTTATCTCGAAAGTAAAATCGTGCTTATCTCGAAAGTAAAATGGTTATGATACCATTTTTCATACGAAGGGAGCACTGCAGTTTTAGGCAAAGAAGCCTAACAGGACGCGAAAGTAGTTGGTGAGATCTCCTTTTATATTTTTGGTTTTAAAAGAACTGGTCTGTTTGGCAGGCGGCGCCATCAGAACAACTTGACCGTTGTTTTTGCTTGAGTTTGAGCCTCAATAATAATGGTGGACCCAATTATTTTTATTTTATAATAATACATTACCATTTTTGTTTGTTTCCTTTGGAAAGGATTGGTATCGGGTGTGCGAAGTGTACAAACCAAACGATGCACAGTGGGCGCTGCAAGCAAAAGCTGTACTTGATCGGCTGCAGCTAGTAGTTGCTGAGAGGTCTATTGCTTTCCACACAAAGATCCAACCCACTGTCCAGTATCTTGGCCGTTTGCTTGCTGTTCCCAAACGAGCGGTATGTCACATGTTGACTGACTTAGTTGTGCAATGACTACAAATGGCATAAACTCTCTATGATATATTCAGGTTCTGTTTCTTCTATATCATGCGACAACTGAGCTAAGACAAAAGCTTATGTGATTTGTCTAGTCATTCGTCTGTCTTATATGGTTGTTTTCTCTTGGTCAAGATTGACACTTCGGCAGAGGAACTAATCAGGGCAGGTTCAGCAGCTACCCTTTCTGCACTTATCAATCGTTTTAACCCGGTCCTCAGAAAAGTAGCTAACTTGGGCTGGTAACCTTTGAACCAAACCTCGACTCGTTCCTCGTTAGCAAAAAATACTGAGTGAAGTGGTAAGCTTTGAGTAATGTCCGAGTTTTTTCCATTACAGTTGGCAGGTTATTAGTCCAGTGGAAGTTGGTGGTTTCGTGACGTCAGTCAACGAATTAATCACCGTACAGAACAAAGTGTACAAGAAACCAACTGTTATCATTGCAACTAAAGTGACAGGAGAAGAGGAGATTCCAGATGGAGTTGTTGCTGTACTCACCCCCGACACGCCTGATATTCTTTCTCATGTCTCCATTAGAGCGAGGAACTGCAAGGCATGTCTGTCTGTCACCTCTTGCATTTCACTATTATTGCACAGCTTTGGAATTGAGATTTCAAACATCACATGTTCTACCAAAATATGGTATTAGGTATGCTTCGCGACATGTTACGACCAGAACCTGCTGAGGAATCTCAAGCTTAAGGAAGGAAAAGCTGTATCGATTAAAATCAAATCGATGGATTTGATTATCCGGTATTTAGAAATTCGTCATATGGGTTGCCTTTACTTGTATTTTACTGCAACCTCAAACCTGAACATATCGTGCATTTGCTGCTGCTTGCAGTGACATCAGTGCCTCAGAATTGTCTCTCAGTTCGTCTGTTTTCTCTTCCATTCTACGGAGAACATCGACATTGAAGAGGAAGACATTCCGTGGGAAGTATGCAGTTTCTGTTGAGGAATTCACTACAGAGATGGTATCATTCTGATCATCTAACTAATAAGTTTTCAAGGTTTTTATGTTCCGACGGTCTCTGAATGTTTCAAAGAGACATTCTGTTTTATTCAGTCTTACAAAATAAGCCAGAAAATTCCTTTGCTCAAGTTCTTTGGTGTCGGCTTGACTTGGTAGTGTATCTGTTGCCGATTTTATAGGTTGGTGCAAAATCTTGCAACATTAGATTCCTAAGAGAAAGAGTGCCCTCATGGATCAAGATTCCGAACTCTGTGGCTCTTCCATTTGGAACTTTTGAAGCTGTTTTGTCAGAAAATATAAACAAGGTAGAACTTGCTTTTGCATTCTTTAGACATTATAGTAGTGCTCTAGTTTATCCTTGTATTCCTAGAACCGTAATACATTATGTTTTTACCTGCAGGACATTGCTAGCAGGGTAATTGGCTTACACAAATCTGTCTCTGGTGGTGATCTTACAAAACTTAAAGAGATACAAACTGCAATACAGCAGATGCGTGCACCATTGTCTTTGGTTAGTTCTGAGCTACCTTCTGAAGCGTTCTTTAAGTAGAAGGAAGGCTTCTTGATGAGAAGAAGATTCATATGGTGACAACTACTTTGTGCTTTTAAATGGCAGAAAAATGAATTGGCAAGCAAGATGCGAACTTCAAGAATGTCTTGGCCCGGGGATCAAAGCGAGGAAAGGTGGTCGCTCGCTTGGCAAGCAATAAAAAGGGTATTGCTCTAACAAAACCTCATTTGATGGTATAATGCAAGAACAGCAGTGAAAGTGATTGAGTTGTTTCCATTTATGTGCAGGTCTGGGCTTCTAAATGGAATGAACGAGCATACGTAAGTTGCAGGAAAGCTAGCTTGAACATGGACAATCTACGCATGGCGGTGTTGATTCAAGAAGTCATTTGTGCTGACTATGCTTTTGTCATTCACACGAAGAATCCATTATCTGGAGATGAATCTGAGATATATGCAGAAGTAATTAAGAGTTTCCTTGGCTCTTTCCATTCACACTCTCTCCATTTGAATATATCCATTCCAATCTGTGTCTTTTATTTGATGGTAATGCAGATTGTGAAGGGCTTGGGAGAATCACTCGTCAGTGCGTACCCGGGACGAGCTATGAGCTTCATTACCCGCAAGAACAATCTGAAGAATCCTATTGTAAGTCTCTTTGAGTCTCTTATCATATAACATCTACCATATGTGGGAGAGGGCAAATCTACTCATCTATGGAATTCATCTACATCTTATGTTTCAGATTGCGAGTTACCCAAGTAAGAACATAGGGTTGTTTAGCAAGCCATCCATTATATTCAGATCAGACTCCAATGGTGAAGACCTGCAAGGATATGCAGGTGCTGGACTTTATGACAGGTTAGTCTTATATGCTCTCCTTCCATTACAGCAATTTTGGAGCCAAACTGAAGAAACCACACTTCTTTTTGCTCTCAGTTTTTCTTTCCTTTCCCGTTGATTAAACAGCTGATATATCTGTGTTGCAGTGTAATACTGGATGAAGAAGATAAAGTTGTGTTGGATTACTCCACGGATCGATTGCTGATCGACAAGGCTTTCCAAGCCTCAGTCTTGTCGAGAATTGCAGAGGCAGGGAAAATCATTGAAACCCTCTATGGTTGTCCTCAGGATATTGAAGGGGTTGTGAAGGATGGAGTGATACATGTAGTTCAGGCCAGGCCACAAATTTGATCAAAGATGGTTGATGATTTGGTTTAATCCTCGATCTGTAGCTAGACTTGGGCATTCAATGTTGCCTGCTTTCTGTCAAATAATAATTTGCGAATTCCCTAACCTGCTTGTCGGTGATTAACGAGTCTTTTAGATTCAAACATTTTGAATATGTGGTATCTTGGATTAAATGATGCATCATTCTAGCATGCAACATTTCATGTGGCTTTTAACCTAATGATGTGATGATTGGGTTATAATTGGTCTCGTTTGAATAGACATTCAGATATTTCATCATTTAAGAAAACTAAAATATTATTTTGCACCTTTTTCCTATCGATCCTGTCAAGAATATAGCTCGACTCGAGTAACATGCCCGATCTGTTCGATCTGTAACCTGTCTGCAACTCGATTTGACACTGACTCATAACCCGACCGACCCACTACTTGATTGACACTGACTCGCAACCCGATCGACCCGTAACCCAATTAATCTGTAACCCGACTTATAGTTGAGGTGGTGGCCTTCCGAGCAGTATCAGGTGTAGTTTGGTCCTTCCTTAGACTTGACTCGAAATCAATCTTCCTAGACTGGTTACTCCCACTGTCCCTTTCGAACCAAGAAAAGTGACTTCCTACGCAAGTAAAAAAAGAAGCTTCCACACGGTCTTCAAGTCTCTCGTTTGAAGTCTTCCAAGCTTAGTCGGCCTTAACCAATTCCTTCACGATCTTCAGCAAGACTAGGACCCTCACTTTCAACTCCTAGCTTCACTCGAATGTCCCTCAAACTGAACGAGTAAGCCTCCGAAGTAGGTACCTCAAATTGCTTCCAACACTTAAGCCATTTTCAGAACTTAATTCTCCCACATTGTGCTTCCTTCTTTAAGTTTTAATGGAAGTGAACTTGAGAGAAATATTTATTAATCGGATTAACATTGAACTTTTTTTTTGACAAAAGATAATCTTATATTGATTGAAACGGAGACAGTTACACCCTGGAATTCAGCAAGGTCTGAAAATCAAAGAAACGACACATAGTTGGGTACAAAGAAAGGGCCTGTCTAGCCACACAATGAGCTACCCTATTATAACACCGACCTACGAATCGAACACTAAACCCAGAATGAGCAGCAAAGTACTGATCAACTTCCTCAAGAACAGCCCCCATCTGGCAATCACTGACATCCTTCTGATTGATCTTATCTATAATCACCTTTGCATCGCCCTCAAATCTAACCGCCTCAAACCCATGCTCACGACACCACAGCATAGCTTCACGTAGGACCATTAACTCCACCACAGCAGGGTCATCCATTCCCGGAAACTGAACACCTTTAACCCAGAGGATCTCCCGAGCCGGCGTCATAATCACCATCCCTCCAGCCGCATGAGAGCCACTCCTCGTAGCCCCATCCCACATACAAACAACCACACCAGGACCAACTGGCTCCAACTGTTGTACCCTTGGACGAGAGACCGGAGGGGCCTGACCTCTTGACACCCTTACCCATTCCTCATACTGCTGAGTATACTGACGCATAAGAGCAGGGATCCCATACTGCTTGCCTTCAAAGACAACCCAGTTACGAGACCGCCAGA